TATTTCGTACGCAATTGATTTTATCAATGTTCACTACTGGCCGATGAACAAAAGTATTACACGCATAATCTATACACGTACATGTGGAAAAAGCAAAATAATAGTTGTATGATTCATACATATAAACACGCAACATATCGCCACTTCTACCATTTTATACACCGAAGGAAATAATGCGAACACAATGACGTTTCTTGTGAAATTTTCTATATTTATTATGGCCCTGTGTTTTGGGCAAATTGCTGGTTGTGTATGATACCAACAACTGTTTTTTGTGGGGACTTATCACATGTATTGTGATAAGCTGTTAACCGTCCATAACAACTATAAAACTTCCTCTCGTGTATTTTTGCGCTATACATCATTGTGTACACCATAACAATCCCATGTATGCCCCCTTTTTTTTTCATTTGTGTTAGGCGAGTACCATAGGTACATCCTCGGGTAATGGCACAAGCGAATATGGCACAGATGTTGGAACTGCGGCTGCAAGTACAATTGCTACGACCAGCGTGTCGTTGAGTGATGCAACGGATGTAGGGAAACGGGGTCAACGTAATTTTTACGATGGTCAATCTACGAGTAGGCGCATGAAGAACACGGTGTTCGATGACATGCGGAGAAAATTAAAATCCACGGACAAAGTAAAGAAGCCGCAGCACAAATCGAAGTCATCGCAGGATATAACTGCAGGCGATAATTGTAGAAGAGGTTTGAAGAAATGGACACGTTGTAAAATGGGAAGAAAAGCATGGTTGGCGCTTATACTAGTACTCTCAGTTCTGTATGCATTCTTTATGTCCTCCTTAGGACAAAGCGTGTTGAGTGGGATATTTCGTATGATACTTGGTCAGGCCGCGTTTGCGACGTTCATGGGCACGTATGGAGCTTTCATACTGATTGTAATTGTCTATTTCTGCGTGCTAATATGTTTTTGCTGCTCCAAGACTGCAAAATGTGTACTGGATAAAATTTGGAAGAAGAAGGAGAAGGAGGAAGCTCCCACAGAAACGGAAAAAAACGAAGGAGAAGTAAATAAGAAACCGGCAGCACCTACACCGGCAGCAGAATCCCAGAAACCGCATGTACATGAGAAAAAGGAAGAATCTGGGGAATCAGACGTACCGAGCAAACCGGATGTATCTAACAAACGGGAAACATCCGGGGTAATGGAAGCACCTAAGAAACCGGAAATAGCTTAGAAGCAAAAAACACCGGGGAAACTGAAACTACCGTGGTCACAGAAATTATCGAAAAAACCATAAGTATACTCCGTACTGTATTTCTGTTATATTATAACGACGTTATGATATGTTATTCGTCTATTTACTTGATCGAGCACCCCATGATGTCCTATGCTTTTTATGTGACATGGCTTATTCAGATTTATATTATTTACCTAATTGTTTCGCTTTACATTGTCATACTGTTTGTACTCTGTACGAATATACATAGTTTTTCGTATATATATATTGTACTGTTAGTTTATATAATAAGTTGTTGATGAATATTTTTAATGGGATACCCATTGTAAGAAAAAAAAGGGAATCCTGCTACATTACGTATATATAATGCAAGACTACTTTATACCTTACATGTAACCAATATTACATTAGGATTACACTTGATGCAACATGTGGCTATATTTGCATAAAATAGAATGTTCTTCTTTTTTTTTTTTTTTTACTCAAAAATGCTGGCGCGGTATGAATATCCCCCTTTTTTGGGCACTATAATATTGTACACGATAATAACAACATACACTATATAGACATATAGTATAAGCTGTCACAGTGATGCATCGACCGTTAAAGAGGCACCAAATGCGACAGCAGTTGTCACAAGGACAACGTATACACCGCCTCTGCCTTTTTGCTGGCTTCTCTAAGGCTTCTCAAATGTTGCGTTATAAACTATGCACACATAATCCACTTATATGCATAAATTGCGTACACACTGCGCACTCATGCGCGTGGCGCTACCGCTACCGCTGCCGTCCTTGCCGTCGCTGCCGGCGCCGTCACCGCGTTCTCCGTCAACGCTTCTCCGACAACGCCGCTCCCGTCACGCCGTCTATCCGTCTACGCCTCTGCGTCAACGTGTCGCGCGTCACCCCGTCGCCGTCAACGCCTTCTCCGTCAACGCCTCTCCTGTCACACCCCGTTGTCCGTCAACGCCTCTCCGTCAGCGCTCTCTGCGTGAACGCTCTCTCCGTCAACGCTTCTCCGTCACCCCGTTCTCCGGGTCACGCCTCTTCCGTCAACGCCTCTCCCGTCAAGGCTTGTGCGTGCGGCTGCCGCCGTGTTGGTGCGGTCAAAGAAAGGGGGGAAAAAAGTACTACTACAGTACCTACCCTCACAACGCCATAACAAATAACTGCCGACCTAAGTCATATCAACCCACATGTTGTATATATATATATGTAACGTCTGCAACCCAGGCCCCATAGTTATATTAATAGAAGTTGACAAGATAACGCTAGCAAAACAAAGCAGAAGTGCACAGCAAAAAACACAAACGAAAAAAAAAAAAAAAACGTATAGGATAATGTAAAGTAGAAGTATACTGTGCATATCGTATAAGGGAGAACAGTCATGTACGGTCATCAGGTCTCCCTATCTACATTCCTGCATACCCCTGACTTCATCCTAATGTCAGAGCGTGTCCAATAGATCATCCACATATAACTCCGTCTCCTGCAAACGACATTCGAGCTCGCACTGTTCTATGACTAATGCCAGGATCAGTATCCATGTTTTAGCAGTTAACGGTTTTTTCATGTAAGGTTGCGGATGCAGTTGCGTCCGCGGTACATCTCTCACTCGTAGCATTTCTTCTGCGGCCATTACTGTGTCCACTTCTAAGTCGTTTTCCACTCCAGGTACTTCGCCTTTTTGCGATTCTGTCGCCGCGTCTGCATTATTCAACAAATGTTGGAACCACTCCTGCTCACCATATGTATTGATAAGGTCATGTTGCTGTGCGACCCATTCTTTCCACAACCGCAGTTTCGTGCTTTCCATGGTTGCCGCTTCACCGAACTCACGGTGCGCGGATACTACGTTGTCGTCCCGTGCGCCATGTGCTCGCGCAGGTATTGTTTCCATGCCGATGTCAATTGCAAAAACCATGGCTGTTCCGTACACTCGCGCACAATATCTTTGTTGCGGTCAATCCAGTTAATCCAACGGATGCAGTACGACGTCACGTGGTCGGAATGAGCACCACTGTGTTGTGCATCTAACGCTATACTTTCCATACACCTCCAGGGATCTGGGTTGTCTTCGTTAGGTGGAGATGCGTCCGTTGCTAACTGTATAGTTTCCATACAACTGCAGAGAGCATCTGCGTTAGGTGGAGAAGCGTCCGTTGCTAACTGTATGGTTTGCATACACTTGCATGGATCGGAGTCCTCTGCGTTAGGTGGACAAGGGTCCGTTGCTAACTGTATGGTTTCCATACAACTCCAAGGATCGGGGTCGTGTGCATTCGGTGGAGAAGTGTCCGTTGCTAACTGTATAGTTTCCATACAACTCCATGGATCGAAGTCATTAGGTCGACAAGGGTCCGCTGCTAACCGTATGGTTTCCATACAACTCCAAGGATCGGAGTCATCGTGGTTGGATGCAGCAGGGTCCGTTGCTAACTGTATGTTTTCCATGCAACTCCAAGGATCATCTTCATCATGTCGAGATGGATCTGTTCCGTCGGCGTCAGTGGGTGCATCCAGAGTGGAGGAAACATGGGTCCCTGGTAAACCATGGTTGGAGGTAGAAACACCCAAGATGTTGTTATTCGTTTCCTCGTCCTGCTGCAGGTCACGCGCAAACTGCTCCACGACAATCTTCAAATAGTCGTGTTTGACGTTTTCCCACTCGGTCACTTCACATTCGTTGAGCACTTCTAGATGTAGCTCGATGATCGTGCGCTTATGCACGCGTGGATGACGTCGTCGTCGGGCGCATGTTGACGAAGGTTGCCTATGCCGAATCATCGTGTACCCGTAATCGGGTGGCGGGGCGCCGCGTTGTAAATGCTCCAATATTTCTTCGTCTAGTGGCGGTGACGGCACGTCACGAACGGTTCGATATGTTCGTCGTCGGTTGGCGAGGTAGGCAAAATACTAAACAGAAAAAGGGGGGTAAAGAGGAGGGTGGGGACGGTAGGATAAAAGGAATGAACGCGGGTGTAGGAGTATATGGGTTCGAACGATCATATAGTGGTGCGCGGAGGGAGTTTCTGAGGTATAAACATCGTGCACATGCGGCATGCCCGCATTGTCGTATATACTTACCTTCCAGAGGAAGAACGCAATGATGCCAATACCAACCACCGCGGGAATGATCGCGGGGGTGTAGGGGATGAGATCGCGAGGGTCGAAGGGTTTCGGGGAAGAAAGGGTAGGAAGAGGTTGATCATTACTCATTGAACCCTGTCCTCCGGAAGTGCTGGAACCAGCTCCCTGTGGACCCCCACTGGAGCCAGTACCGGAGGTACCTGGTTGCGAAGTGCGCGTGGAGCCAGGTCCTGAAGAACCTGGGGTGTGGGCACCAGCAGAACTGGGACCAGAGGATTGACCTCCTCCACTGCCTTGGGTAGTACCATGTTCACCTGGTTTTCCTTCGCCAGCAGACACTCCATCCGCCAAATCAGCATCACTGAAACTGCCACTACTTCCCGATTGATTTGGGTTCGGGTTCGTGGTTTCTGGTTTGGGTGGATTGCGAGGAGGGGGGTCATCCGTACTGGTGTTCACCGAGGAACCGGGGGGACTATCAGGTCCTGTATGTAAATATGAGAAGGAGAATAAGTGTCGAAAGTGAACCTTGTGCGATGGTGCAACGGGTGCTTGGCCATGCTCGGTTGCATGGTTGCTCATGATGGACCACACGGTTATGACCACGGTCGGCCACACAGTCGCGCGGCCACACGGTTGACCACACGGTTCGTCGCTCGTGGTCGGTCGCTAATGGTTGCCTGACCACGGTTGGCCACATGGTGCCACGGTTGACCGCCGGTCGAGTGACGGTTCACTGCCGTTGGAGAACCGGCCGTAGGGGAACCGTGGTTGGCAGGTGCCACCCCGGGAAAAGACTCTCTCTCTCTGCCACACAACACTCACACTATGTGTGTGTGCGTCTACGTCTGTCGACATCTGCATCCCGCGGCGGACCCGTTGCTCGGCCGATCGCTCTGCCGCTTGCATTCTCATTCGACGTTTGGTTGTCCGCTCTCCGCGGTGTCTGTCACTCTCTCCCGAACTTGTTGTTTCATTTTTTTTTGTCTCTGCGGAAAGTGTGTTGTTTTTTTTTGTTTTGTTCACTCCTGTGCTCTGCGTTGGGGCATGGATCCGCATGCTCGGATGCACATTGTCATCTGCGGGCACTGTGCGCACCGCTCTATAAAGTTCACTCAGAAGCAGTATTGCCGGTACCTTTACATTCAGACTTCGACTCAAAGCTAATACTAACTCTTCCAGCCCCCAAGCTTTCTTCCTGAACGTCTTTGGGGCACGCCGTGTCCTTACCGTTACTTTCTGTGGGTACCGGCGTAGTCTGTTCCGCGGCTCCATTTGGTGCTGCAGGACTTGTGGCTCCTTGTGGTTCTGATGGTGCTGCTGCACCTGCGGGTTCTGGTGGAGGAGGTGGTGGAGGTGGTGGTTGTTGTCCAGGTCCTGGTCCCTGACCTGCTCCTTGCGGTGGTGTTTCTGACCGTGGAGTCCCCGTTACTGGTGTTGTGGATCCCGAGGCTCCTCTCTGATGTGATCCCTCTGCTGCCTTCTTTCCTACGCCCGTCTCTGGTTTTGTCTCTTCAGGAACAGCCTTCTTTGGTTCCGCTGGTACCGTAGTTGGTGGTACTGCCGGTGTCGTGCCTGCTGCAAATGAACAAGAAAGGACGCACGAAAGATGGACGAAAAGATGATAAAAAAAAAAAGGGACACAAGTGGCACAGAAAGAAAGGGGCCGGGACGGTGCGGTCAGGTAACGGCACGGTAGGTCGGCTGCATGGGTCGCCTGCATGGATCGAGGTGCAATCGGTGGACTCCGTACTCCGTGAACTGGGTGAGGAGGCAGCAAGCGCACCGTCAGTTGAACTGTGTGGACGCAGGTGATAGCAGTACAACTTTTATTTGTTGTCGCCGTGCGCGACCGCTGCCGTGGGCACTCATCTCCGTCCGCTCCGCAACCGCTACCGCTGCCGTCGTGGCCGCCGCTCAACGTCAACGAAGTCGTTTGCTGTTCTGTTGCGCCTGCGTGTGCCTTGTTGTTGTGGTGGCCCGCATCGTGTGCGGCCGTATTCGTATGCGGCCATATTCGGCAGTACGGTGCGTAGTCGCACGGGCCGCATGAGTATTCGGCCGTGTTCGTGTTCTTACGAAACGTATTCTTACCATGCGTCTTGTCCTTATCACTTCTTGTGTCCTGCTCTTCCTTTTGTCCCCCTCCTCCTGTTGGTACTATAGTTTTTGTGGCGGGTGATTTGCCATTGAGTGGTTCCTCCTTTTGAACTTTCGATTTCTTCTGCTCGTCCTCGTCGTCGTCCTCAGAGTCAACATCACTATCCCCAGATCCCATGGAGTCCCTTGGTGCGCTTTGTAACCGTGTTATATTTTTCTGTACGCTCTTTTTAACTGTTTCCAATAGTCCTTTAATCTCCGTTTTCACCCAGGTGTGCATTGCCGTCTCATTAAATATACTCGAACTACTGATATCCCCTGTGTGCTTTAGCATTTTGGCCTTGTACACGTCCCAATCAATGTTACACTCTTGGTTCTTCTGTATTGCGTTTATACGAGCACTTATCTGTGGACTTTGCTGTAACCAGTTTTTTACCGCTTCCTGTAAGTTCCCTTTCCCTATGTTAATACCCGTATACACATCCCGCGTACATGTTCCAGCTGAAATTGGATTAGACCCATCGTGGCTGCCCGCAGCAAACTGCTTCATGGTTTCCCATGCCCAATCTGGCCCTAGCCACTCTTTGCCACACGGTATTGCAGCCAATATATACGCAAAAACATTGGCCACTAGGCACCTCATAATAGCCTTCATGGCCGTATCATTGTGCGATGGGTCGTTATCCTTTTTCAGTTGATTGCTCCACCCAGTTACAAAATGTAATGCTCCAACCATGAGTCTGCATTTCATGACATCCCCAACTGAATGATCGGTGTATTTGGTTCCTTGGTCCTCGCGTCCTCTACGTGTCCAACCTGCAGCCTCACAGTTTGTGGCATACGCATCTAAGATGTCCTCTATCTGTTCCATGTAATTCACGAATTCTTCTAACACATGCTGCATATCTTCCCATAATTTGCTCTACAATATATATAAGAAGAAGGAAGCGGTTAATATATAAAAATAGTTACCATTATCCCATGCAGCCTATGACGTATTCCGTGCTCAACACACAAGTGCTCATGCGGATGCCCCGCACTTTGTATCATGTGTTGCCTGCTGTGCACCCGTGCGTGTTGTAATACTTACATCAACCTGTCTCTGCTCCGATAGTTCCCTGTCTCGTACCCATGCGGCCATTACTTTCACTAAGTGCCCGGCCATGGTGCCCTACGTCGCATAATACAGGATACTAATGCTCTCTGAGAATATTATGCACATTATACATATTCCGCCCTCATGCTATACACACTTCGGCCTAATGAATATTCTTATTACTCTATAAATGGGGGGAATCCGATCACACATATAATTTATATAAGGAAAATGCGCAGTACAGAATTGCACAGTACACAAACTGTTTACACTATTCTGATATTGTTTAGGAGAGAATAATATGCACAGAACCAAAAATTAGTAAAAAATTAAAGAGAAAAAAAAAGGAAAAAAAAAGAACACAACCAACTGAACGGAAAGCAACATGTTCAACATGGAAGCTATATATCCTTGCCTCCTGCGCGCCTTTATAAATTCTCTCTGTGAACAATATATTACGAAAAGAAATATATATACATGTTCCCCGAGTACTGCACCAAGAGCTGCCCGGAGGAGTTGTGCCCGAAACATAGGAAAAGAAGCGAAAGCAGAGGTGTAAAACAACACAGCCCTACAAATTCATAACAACCACGTCGTCTACACAATATAGAGAAGACTCTGTCTCTGTTCCAAATATGAAGAATCTCCCCAAGTAAAGTACCAAAAAGGAAAAAAGACAAGAAAAAACAGGAAAAACAGTACACACAAAGCGCGACATGAATACCCCCTGCTCCCTTTCTATACCGTTCTACACTAAACGCCTGTCACACACTGGCTGTCTCTGTGTGCGTACACCTAAAAACCGCAGTATAACAACAACATCAAATTCTTCTTCCGTCGTTGCTGCCGTCCTTGCCGGTCCTTGTGGCTCCCACACAATATGTGTATTCCTGCCGCGGCCTCGCGCTGTGTGCTCCCTTTCTGGATTCTTCCCTCACACCTCTTTACTCGGCCTGCGTGTGCTTGGAGAGACAATGTCTCCCTCCTTTCTTACACTCGGTTGCTTCGTCGAATCCTTCTTACACTCGGCTACTTCGTCGAATCGGTCTTGCACGGGGCCGCGTGGGTGGACGCGGTTGCTCGCAGAGACAATGGTCCTCCTTTGTGCACGCGGCAGCGGTGCTCGACGCGTTTGCTCGGAGAGACAATCTCTCCTCCTTTCTTACACTCGGACAATCCTTCGGCGAATATTTGTTACACTTGGCCGCGTTGGTCGACGCGTGTGCTCGGAGAGACAACGTCTCCTCCTTCTTGCACTCGGCTACAATGCGGCTTACCCGGCCGCGTTTGCTCGCACACAATAGCCGTGCTTACTCGGCCGCGTTGGTCGACGCGTTTGCTCGGAGAGACAATGTGTACCTTCTTACACGCGCGCACAATGCTTACGAGGACGAGGCAACGACGGCAGAAGAAATTGATGTTCTTGTTGTTACTGCGGTTTTTAGATGTACGCACACAGAGACAGTGTGTGAAGGCGTTTAGTGGAGACCGGTGTAGAAAGGGCGAGGGGGCGTATTCATGACGCGTTGCGTGTGTATGGTAGTGTAGTGTATTACTTTTGTTTTTCCTGCCTTTTTCTTTTTTTTCTTTCCTTTTTTGTTTTAATTTTTTTCTTCTGTTCCTTCTCTTCCCATTCTGTTCTTTCTGTTGCCCTTCTAGATCCAACAAACTTAAACCCGGAACCCAGGCTCTGGATCCTGCGACATTCGAGCAAGGACCGTGGGACCCAAACCTGTGGATTAGGGTGGGATACAGGTGGATGGTGCGGTAGGACACACTAAATTTTTTTTCCTATTTTTTCTTTTTTTCTATAATATGGATTAGGTTGTTATAAATTGGAACAAGGATAAAGCGAAGTTTACGCTAGATTTATGTGTAAGGATATATTTCCAACAGTATCATATTCTTAGCATAATCATAATACTGGGTACGGTTCATTCTATGCAGTAGCCCTTATTCAGTTCAAGTGATGTGGATGTCTCCCAAGTATAGGCGTAATATTGATATTTGGGAATTATTGTATCATGGCAAGTAATACAGGAAATGTGGCGGATTTCACAGAGCAGCTTAGGAAATGGTTCCAACGAAGAAACATGAGCTCGGACAAAGACTACAGTGTAAGAGGATGGAGCAGCGTGCGCGGGCGAAGGCGCGGGAGAGGGCGAGGGAGCGCAAGAGCTAGAGTCACACAACGGAATATAGGGGTATATGCATTCGACACTACACCTTGAGCGCGCATCATAGGCGACCGTGGTATATGTGGTAATAAACGTATTATATTCCTATATCTGCAGGAGACAATATGGACAGATATAAAGGCTCTTTTCGAAGTGTTAGCCACAAGTATAAAAACGAGGGATACTGTCACCACATCCGTTTGTGAAGCAGCATTCCCAACATGGATCTGGTCTAAGAATGCGGCGGAATTCACGGTCTGCCGGCGTATTGTAAACATATTTCTATTTATGGATAGCAGACATAAGTCTGGGGGACAATGGACTACGCAGCGTATATTTACGGAGGAGGCGCAATTTGAGGATTATGTTCGGTGTATGCTTGGGAACATTGCTATGGCGGAATTGTTTAAGACCAATTGTAGCGCACGGGACATCATTGATAAAGTGTCCACGCACATGGACACGTTCAGGCACTCCTTTGGGCACGCGGATGGAAGCAAACTTTGCAAGGATATGGGATACGAGACACTAATGGTTGGATCGAAGTTTGTGGCAGCAACTATGGCACGGTGGATACAAACGTGGAGACTGAAGTTTGGGGGAGGGAAAGTAGCAGGAAAGGGGCCCACAACATGTAACAAAGACAAAACGGATCCACAGGCGCGGAGCAACGTACCAGCTGTTAGAATGTTTCAGAAGGAGGATAACCTAGTAATAACGGAGTTAGTGAAAGCAGGGAAGGATTTGGACATGGAGAAGAAAAAGCAACTAGTGGAAGAATTAGAGGACAAGCGACAACAGGACGGAGTATTGGCCGATATAATGCGACAGATAACGGAGGCTGAAGCGAAACTTGGTGTGCGAAGTGGAGTCGGCCAAGCCAGTACAAGTACGGTACAGACAACGCCGCCGTCACCACCAGGTAGGTCAGATCCCGGTAGTGGGCAATCGTCCGGGTACGCCCCTGCACCACCAGCAGCTACTGAGCCGGCCACATCATCATCACCACAGGCACCGTCAGGTAAGGACCGATGAGAGAAAGCACGAATACGGCACGCACACCAACACGGCTCGACACGGCCGGCCCGCATGACACGTACGCCTCGATACTGCCGCATATGGATGCACCGCCACCACAACAACAACGCACACGCGGCGACGACGGCAGCGGTAGGGGCGACCACTGTGTAGACGAGGTCTGTGTGCGGACGGGGGAATATTTCCCCCCGGGGTGCAACATTGTTACTGGTGGAGAAGGGAGGGATATCCATGCAGCGACAGAATTCTAGGAGTGTTAGGAAAAAAAAAAAAGAGGACTGTTACATTTTATAAAAATATTTGCCACATGTTGTATGCATGGTAATCATAATGCAGTGTTTTTTACATGTAGGATATGAAATAATTGTTCCTTATAT